CCCTCCCCCGCACCCCCACCCGCACCCACACAAGGCTCACCCGCCTGAGCCCGCCTACCGCCGCAAGCCCAACCCTGTGCGCCGCTTCGACGGGGATGTCCTCTCCCCAGTGAGTCCTCGACACATGCCTGCCTGGGGAGGATGCCCTGGGGTGGCCTGGAGGGAGTGGTGCTGGGGACGACCCCCAGGCAGTGCCCTGAGCCCAACCAGCACACAGGGTGGCAGGGGAAGCTGTCCCACCCCCAGGCTGGTGACATGTGCCCTGCACTCACCCTGCCCTGTTGGGGCAGTAAGATGGGTGGGAGAGAGGGCAGTGCTGCAGCCAGGCTGGGCAGGGGAGAGGCGAGGGCTGGGGGACCAGAGCTGGAGCTGGCCACCCTCACGCCTCCCCTCTCCGGTGCAGAGCTACATCCAGAGTTTCCGGGACCGGCAGACAGGGACGTCACTGAACAGCCTCATTGCCTCGCATGCCGTGGTCGACCTGGACTATGACTGTGGCTCCACCGTGCCCCTGACCACAGGCGCGGGGCCGGCCGTGCGCGTATAGCCCCCCGGCCACTGCAGGACACCAGCACGGGGTCCAGGGCAGCAAGGAGCAGCGGGAAAGGGGCCACCCCACATGCCCCCGGGGCCTGGAGGTCAAATGGTGGACTCATCCCCTGAGCTATAGGAGGGGGGGGGTCTGTCCAACACCCCCAGGATAAGAGCAGTGGAGGGAAGGAAAGGGTTAACTTTCCCTGCCAGTAACGACTCAGCTGGAGACTTGGGGGGTGGGGGTGGGGCAGAGCCCTGGAGCACAGTGAGACCCCCCCCCCAGTGCTCCATGCCCCCCTGCCCCCAGGCCCAAGCTGCCCCCCCAGCCAAGCCGTTAACCCTGGGGGGTCTGTACTCCAAGTGTGGCCCCTGGACTGTGCCACTCGCTGCCACCGCCTGCCCCGGGCAGTCGGGACCCCACACTCCCTGGCAGGGGTCCAGCTGCAAGCGCGGGTGAGGCTGTCTCCTTCCCCACTTGGCAGCTGCCAGGGCCCCAGCACAGGGGATGGGGGTGGGGGCGACGGCATTCTTGTCCTGTCTTTGACCCCTGACCTGGGCTCGGGCAGCCGCCCTACCAGGCCCTGGCTGGACGCCCAGACCGGCCCCGCTGCCCGCACCACAATGGACACGGCTGCTGCTTGCTATTGGCATGGGCAGCGGGGGGCACTGGCACCAGAGCAGGGCATCCGGGTGCAGGACACAGGGGGCCTTTCCCATGGGATGCCAGCTCCCCGGCCCTAAGCCAAGTCTGGGATTGGGGCCGCTCTCCTCCGGGCCCTGGACGCACCAGTTTGCTGTTTTGCTGGCAACTGTATTTGTAGCGGGGGCAGGGGCCAGACCCGTGGGCGGGCAGCACGGGCCGGGCCCAGGGGCTGCAGGTCTGCCCAGGTGCCCCCACATCCCTGCGCGGCTCTGGCCTTGTACATACGCATCTCGCTGTGATTTGTCTTTGCTCCCGGGGATACCCCCTGCCCATCCCCACATCCCCCAGCTGCGGAGGGACAGGCCCTGGGAAGGGGGGGGGGTGCGGAGGGGGCCTGCGTGCCCCCCACGCCAGCACTACCACCCCGGCCTGTGCTGCACCCCGCCACGCCGTTGCCCTTGGGGGTCCCACCCGCACGAGCATGGCAGCCCCCGGATGCTGCATGTTTCCACCCCAGCGCCGGCCCCAGCGCCTCCGCAGGTGCCCCCCTCCCCCCATGCGCGTTCTCAGTCTTTTTGTAAATGTGCCAAACGCTGCTGGCTGCGGCCGCGCAGTAAAGAGCCTTTCGGAGCCGCGGCCCTGTGTGCGCCTGGGGCAGGCAGAGCAGGGCACAGAGCCAGGTGCGGGGGGCATGGCCAGGGCACGTGGCCGGGGGTAGGTCCTGGCTCCATGCAGCCCTGGGGCCGTGGGGGCGTCTGGTCCAACACGCCGTGACACGCAGGCACAGAGCAGCCCTGCTGCGCACAGAGCCACCGACCCCTTCCCGTCACCCAGGCCTCACAGCTGGACGCTTCCGGCAGCACACACGGCAAGAGATGGAGGCATTTAATGGAGGTGTTTAATGATAATGAAGCAGCCACCACCCCTTCCCCCGCCGGGGCAGGGGCAGGGCCTGTCCATCTGTCCATCCTTTCTGCCACCAGCAGCTCGCTTGACAGGACCTGGGGCTACCCCACAGGCGCATCTGCCTGCGAGCTCCACGCCGCCGCGGCCCTCTGGCTCCTAGCGCCCTGGGGAAAGCAGGAGGTCAGGGGGGGCCCAGGCCTGGCCCCAGGGCCCACAGGCCAGGGGCCCCCAGCTGGCAAGATCCAGCCCCCGGGACCTGCTTCAAGCCAGACAGGCTGGCCGGGCTGAGGCACAGGGCCCTGGGCATGCACGTACCTCGCACGGTGAGCTGGGCCTTGGAGCGGGCATTGCCAACGGCCACCTTGACCACGCCGCTCATGCCGGCCGAGGTGTGGCGCAGTGTCAGGCGGTGCACGCGGCCCGCGCTCTCCATGGCCACGTGTGCGCCGGCCCTCAGTGTCTCCCCATTCAGGCTCCACCGCGGCGGGGCCGGCAGTGCTGCTGACACCTCGCACTCGAACCGTGCCTCACCTGGTGCCACCACCTCCACGCTGCGCAGGCCCCGCACCACCTGCACGCTCTCCGCTGCAAAGCCCAGACAGTTGCCAGCGGCTGGGACCCAGCCCCTGCCCCTGCCATAGCCCACTGCAGAGACCCTCAGCCCCACCAGGGCCCCGGGTGCCCCCCAGAGCAGCCCCTCACCCTCCACGAGCAGGCGGGCACTGGAGCGGTCATCCAGGGCGTCGCAGGTGTAGGTGGCCTCGTCCTCGGGGCCCACGTGATGGATGACAAGGGTGCGGTAGCAGTCCAGGTTGCAGATCTCATACTTATCGCCACCGCCGAAGATCTCGGT